AACGCCTCGGATGTGCCGCACTTTTTGACCCTGAAGTGGGGTCAACGACTGCTCACGACGGGGATCTGGTTCTTTTTGATGTACCCCCTTACCTTACCGCGCGAGATCAACTCCTTGCGCTACTTCTCCGTTATTGCCATTTTTCTCATGATGTACTTCGTCTTCAGCGTTGTTTTGCACTCTTTCCTGAATGGCTTCCACCACGGCGTTCGGAAGGATATCGTATACTTCCAATCCGGCAATACCGCCGTCCAGGGGCTGGCCATATTCATGGCGGCCTATCTTTCGCAGCTCAATTGCTATAAAGTCTACGATGAGTTATACAAACCAACGGTACGGCGTTTAACCTTAACCGGTGGGATCAGCGCGTCATTATGTTTTATTTTATACGCCCTCACGGGTGTGTTTGGTTATTACGACTTCGGCGCCGCGGTGACCGGGAGCGCGTTAAAGCTTTACAATCCCATCAAAGAGCCCTATATGGGGGTTTCCTACGCCATAATTATGCTGAAATTGTGTGTGGGGTATGGGCTAAATATGATCCCTCTGCGCGAGGCGATCTACCATGTGACTAAGGTTGACGGCAAGGCAATTATGTGGTGGAAACACGCCCTGTTTGTGAGTGCCATGGCCGTTTTAACCCTCCTCGGCGGGCTTTTCCTTCCGAACGTGAATACGGCTGTGGGGCTTGTGGGTGGATTCTCCGGAGGGTTTATCTCATATATCTTTCCCGCGTTGATGTACATGTACTCAGGGAATTGGACACTGCAAAAGGTGGGGTGGTTTCACTTCGTGATGACCTACATTCTGCTCATCTGCGGCGTCATCGGCGTCGTCTTCGGCACGATCTCTACCATTTATGGACACTTCTATTCCTAAAACAACAGAGTTCATCACGTGATGTTTGTTGTTTACCATTTAGTAACATTGATTAATAGTAGTAGTAAAACTAGTAACAATTTAAACTAATGATACTATTGGCAACTCGTAACTTTAAGAAAACTGGTTGATTAAGTAGTCCCAAATCACTGTAAATTCCCACCCCATAATTATGTTTTGATTTTTGATCCAGAGAGTTCCACTTTCTGAATTCGATTTTTTCTTTTGAACTCCTCTTATCTGATTCCCGCTTCTGCTTTGTGTAAACGACAAATACTACGGCGAGGTGGAATCCGGTACGTTGGAATATTCTCAGAAGAAAGATAATTCGTTATGATTTTATTAACTAGCTTTATAGTTTTCTTCCCATGTTGTAGTTTTTTTAAACTATTGGTAAAAATAGTAAATAACTGAATACACATCTACATTTTCTTTATATTATCTTAGGTTGGCGAGCTTTTCTGTTCAAATACCTTTTTTTTTTAGACACTCTTCCCTCTCTCTGCATTAAATTATAGTAAAGAAGCCTTTTTTAAAGATTTGCATAACATTTTATTTGACTAAATGACTTCTTTATTTAAATCGAAAGAGCATGCAATAAAAAACGAGATGTTTCCGATTTCTACAATATTGTTTATATTCCAAATGGGTTTGAATTTGTTCTGTTTATATTTGTCCATTTCATAATAGTAGCATTTCTTTCTTCCTTTTCTCTTTTTCTTTCGATTTAGCTCGAAGTTCCGATGCGATATTTAGTCTCATTTGTGCCCAAAATATAAACTAGGGTTGACACACACGAGCTAGAATATTCCAAGCTTTTCGATTATTGTTTAGAAGGTTTTTTATTTTTATTTTTTAATAATTCAAGTGAAGGTTCTTTGATTTTACTACATTCTTATCTGAATATTTTAAGGCTTTTCTTTATATTATTTAATTATTGCCTTTTTCATATGTTTTTTGATATTTTCCTTATATTTCTTTATTATTATTATTGATGCTTTGTTGATAATAATAGCATCATGCTATTTTGTTTGTATACTTCATAATTATTCTAGTGGGGTTTGGGTAGAATGGGTGTGAATTGTTTTATTCAATGCCATAATTTACTTCTTATATTCATATCTATATTGATGCTCTTTTTTCATATTTATCGTTGGTCGATTACATCATGATTATTTTTTGTTGTTTTAGTGTATTGATATACTATACACCTGATTTGCATCAGGGTGGAAAATATTTACACCAATTTTTATCTTGAAGTTATGCCTTTTTTTACTTTTGTTATTTCTTCTTCATTTTTTTTTTTACATGTACATAGTTCTTTTCCTCATGAGGTGCTGAATTATGTGAACGTCTGAATTCCTTTTAGCCTTGTAGTGATCTGTTAAGAATAAATTGTACTGCAGAACTTATTTAGTTTTTGAATGCACCCAGCCTTGACTTTTTTTTAAACATTATCTGATTTTTTTCTAAATCTGTAATGGAGCACTTCCACATGCGTTTCTTATAAGGGTTGCACTAAAGCTTTTTTCAATTTTTAACATACATTCTATTCCTAGTACATGGGCATGTGAATTCAAATATATATGTCTATGTTTACTGTTACACCGAGTTTATCTTTATTTCTCTACTTTCGTTATTTACAATGTCTAAATACATGCATATTCCTATCTACAAAATTTTGTTTTCCGTTTCTTTCATCTCTTAACGCTAATCTACTGTTTTCTGTACTAGCATTCGTGATATTGCTATTGGATTTAGGTTCTCATGCTATTTCAGAGTTTATGGAATGAAGTGGGACAATTTTTATTTTTACCATTTTTCTGTACGTTTTTCTCTATTTCACGCAGTCTTGAGATTTGACGTTTCGAGCACCAATTACAAGACTCCAGGTTAATTGTAGATATCAAAACGTCGTGTAGCCTTGGGGGAGGGAGGGTGTGTGTGTGAGAGAAAACGCGTATTCTCTATCTTTATGTAAATTTAAGATTTGACATCGACAATAGGAAGCAAAAAAAAAAGAATCGATGAGTAGCCATTACACTTCACTCGAGGAGCTTGGCCCTGCCGCGCTTGCCGAGCGGGGTAAAATCGATCAGGTCAAGGAGCGGATTGGGGTTTCACACGGCTATTTTGATGCGTGGATTTACGGATTTCTGGAGAACAAAAACTTCGACGTGGCGGAGACAGTTGCGAAGCTGGAGCGGCGTTTCGCGATGGAGGTGAACGAGCTCGCCTCAACCGAACTGACCGACTCCCAACGCCAGTCGCTGCGTTCCGGCGTCATTCACGAGATCGGCCGGGATCGCACG